GTAATCTATCATCATTTGTTAAACAATCAGTAACAATAATTAAGTGTATTTCTGACCTCTTTTTAAGTACAGCTAGTATTTTATACATATTGCGAATGTAATTGTTCCTAATATGCAAAGACCAACGTACAATTTTTTCAGCTTCTAATCGTTTTTTAATATAATCTTTAATATCTAATTTTTTGATAATATTTGATATTATTACAGAATTATTCATTTGTATATAATTTTTAGACCAAAACTTGTTATATTTTCGAATAATATTTTGAGCAATATTTTTTTCAACAAGACTGGACTTAAATTTATTCTGTTCAGCACGATTGTTTTCACGACGTTTTTTTAATCGAGACAATTTTTGTTGTTCCGTATCATTTTGACGTTTTATACGTTTAGCAAGTGCTTCAGCCTCTCTTGCTTTTATGACTACTAAGGGAAGTACTTTTTGTGGAACGCCATATTGTGAATCTTGAGGAAAATGCTCAATTATATTTGTTTCAAAAATTTTTAATAAATGTGACCGCATTAACTTATGTTCACAGTTTACTTTTTCAGGCTTAATATTAAATAATAATGATATAGCAAAAGCTATGGCAAACACACCACAATCACTATAGTTTGGTTGATGTTGCACGATTGGAAATTTAACTGGATTTTTTTCAAAATCATATGTTGGAAATAATCTTTCCAAAAATTGCTTATGTTGTTCGTGCAATGATTTATTATTTAAAGAATCATATATATATATTTTTTTTACGTCATAAAAGCTACATACCCAGTGTCCATCTGATGGATTAGACGAACTGTGCAATATTTGTATATGTTTTGTGTCTTTTGGCACAGATTGTATCGTATCTAATAATTGTATTCGCCATGTTTCAACAGGTTTATAATTCGAACAACTTGTTAAAAGTTGTTGGAAAAGATCCATATGTACATCAGTTAACCATTCACCATGAATTATTATATTTCTCTCTTCAGGCATTAGATATTTTTTTGTTTATAGATATGTTATTTTTTGATTTTTTAAATTTGAACATTTTAAATCATTCAAATTATAGGTATCTTATACAATGCCAATAACAAAAATAATATATTAATAATAGCTAATATTTGTTAGTGCTATGAATAATAGACCGTTTAGCGCTAAAGAGCAACCGATATATTTTAAAATTCAGCACTAACAACAGCAAATAAATTTAGCGCTAATAACAGCCAATATTTAACAGCGCTATAGCAGCCGTTCAGTGCTAAAGAGCAACCGATTTATTTTAAAATTCAGCGCTAACAATAGCCGATAAATTTAGCGCTAATAGCAGTCAATATTTAACAACGTTATAGCAGCCGTTCAGCGCTAATGAGCAGCCGATATATAAAATATATTTTATC